TGATAAATGTGATACATTCTATCTTTCGTTACACCCTTATTTACCCCCACCAAGGGTTCTACTATATTATATACATAATATAATAACCAACCCTTCAAGAAAGGTCTGCAAAGATGAAATAACATAAGTGAGGAAACCCCTGACCAAAACAATGTTGGCTACTATGTATGAATCTACCTAAATTCTTAATACTATAAAGAAACATCAGTTTCAGTTTCAATCTATCTAAAAACGAAAAGTAAAACAAAGGTACAGTATAACATAAACTTACTTCATCATATTTGCGCTGGACAAGAGCCAATTTGAAGCGGAATTCCGTTGAATCAATGGTAAGGACACGAGGGGTTGCTTGACGATCTAGACAGTATACTGAGCTACCAGACACCCGAGTCACATACACTGGCAATTCCAGTGTGCGAATAATGCCATGGTCACCATTTGTCAGTGCATACTGTGGGAACAAAAATTTTTTTACTTGGTAGTCCTGTCATTAATCAAACTATGAGACATGATGAGAACCAATGGCTTTTTAATCACTAGGTTACAAAATACATCACACAGCTGATTACTGCACTTGTGCCAAATGCAACTCTAATTGTGACATTAGAAAACAGAGGTTCAGCAAAGTTAATCAAGCTCACCTTTATGTGATTGCTTGTTGTGTACACAAATACTCCACTATCATCCCAGGAACCAGATTTAACCCTGTTATTCTCAGCGATGGAACAGAGGCGTTCTAGTTTGCGGTTACAGATGAGTATTGTTTGCTTGGACAGTAATGCCACAGTGGTCATATTGGCAGACCACACAACATAACGGCACTTGGCAATGCGAGCTGTTCCCAACACTCTGAGGAGTAAATGAACTTGTTAATTACTAGTATAGAGCTACAGTATATCTTAACATTGTTTTAAATAGTATTGGTTAATGAATGATGGTCTTAACACTAGTACTTGCCTCTTCTGCTGAACATCAAAGAGAGAGACACCATCACTATCCCTAAGCAAGAGCATGCCAGTGCCAGCATAAAATATCTCATCACACGGGGGAGTTGTCACTTTCTTGGTCACTTCATTCTGCATATTCTTGATCACCAACTGGAGAAACATGACATTTAAATGTTTAGTCGCAAATAAATACAAAATACTAAAAAACTTAAGTTTTATCAAATTTGAGAGGATTCTTATCAACTTTTGAAACTTATTTACACCTTCTCTGTGTTTGATACTAACTATAGTGTAGTGTCAGTGACATCTAATACTCCAAAACAAATACTTACCTGATGGCTCTTGTCCATAACAGCAAAGCGGTTCCTTGCAACCCATACAGCTGTCAGCCCAGCAGACCTCTTGGAATCTGGGGAGTCAGGGTTCTGTGGGTCTGTATCCTTGGGGATCTGAAGCACCAATTTGCATTAGAAAGATATTTCTAATTTATTAAATAGCAATATTTACATATCTGAAGCTTTGTGTAGGTGTGTCAATCACTGTAGTTTTGTGTAGGTTTGTGTCAATCACTAGTTTTGTGTAGGTGTGTGTGTCACTCACTGTAGTTCTGTGTTGGCGTATGCCACTCATTGTAGTTTTGTGTAGGTATATGCAGAGTTGTAAAAAGTACTGGATTTTGTTACTTAAGTAAAAGTATTGTTACATTGGCAAAATGTTACTCAAGTATAGAAGTAAAAGTATCCAAATGTCAATGTACTGAAGTAGAAGTACTGAAAGTAAAAAGTAACAACAAAATTATTATTTGTCTCAAATATTAAAATAAATCCACAGTAAATAAAAAAAAAAAATAGTTAACTTAAGATAAAAATAAAAGCCACAGCTTTACACATGTTTATTTGCAAATCTTTCTATTAAGATTAATCAATGACCGATTCTCAAAATCATGGTTGTCCAATCAGGATCTTTTAGGCCTAAATATAAGCCCAGCATGACTTACCAAAAGAGAATACATTCAGCCACTCTTCTCCCTACAATCACTTTCTTCCTTATCCACACAAGTATCGTCGACGTGGACTTATGGTCAGCAGACATAATGTTGTTTCCGCTCGCATTAGGTTAGGAGACCTATCTGCCATGTATATGAGGTGGGGGATGACCCACACTTCTCTTCCTGTAACTGTCCCAATGCTAACACCCTTCAACACTATTGCCATGACTGTTCCACTGTCGGGGACCTCCTACCACAGGGAGTCATTTATTAGTAATAACTTAAATTTAATTTTTGTATGCTACCCATGCTTTGGTGGGTGCTTATTCCCATTGTCCTTAAATAACATCAATATTGTCTCCATATCACAAATCATAGCGTGTCCTACGAGAAATGAGTACCAATGTATTAGTGTCTGACCGCATGGTCTTGTGACTAGGCTTGTCGTCCCATGGGGTGTAATTAATTAATTAAACATTAAATAATAAGCCAGCATGACTAAACAGATGCTCACAAGCAGCAGATGCAGGTAGTGGGGTGTTGAGCTTCAGAGATAAGACACAATATCAGAAAAACCTTGGTAGCTCCATTCCATCCCCTGGGCATTCCAAGTAACTATCAAGCTCCTTCAGTTGAGGAGTTTGTGGATGATTGTTGCCTACATAACCTACATAATGACTTAGTCTGACTAAAACTCACTGTGAACTATCCCTCTTATTGGGGTGTGGCTGTGGTGATGTCACCCTTCGATTCTAATTGATGAGGGGCTGAATTTTTCGCACCATGTAACATCCGGCGGGTGCTGGCGAAGGGTACTTAGTAGTACTTACTTATTTAAGCAGAACTTTAAATACACTCAGTCTCACACACAAATATATACAAATGCATTAGAGCTGGGAATTTGGCTCTTCTGATTTAGAGTATTCAATGATAATCGTCACTTTAGAGTGGGGTAAATTTTAACAAACACAAGGCCTCACACATGCCATTCAGACTGACAGACTTGACAAGTTTTACCAACCATAAAGACAGTTGAAGCTTTAAACATCACTCACAATGAATCTTGAATATTCCAACTGTAATCAGACATACCTAAGTTGCCTCAACAATTGCAACCCCAGTTGCAATATCAAATTCTGTGTCACCACTAAAAAATAAAACAGTAGTCCCTGGTGCACTCTTAAGATTAAGAGAAAACGGACGACTCAGGCAGCCTTCTTGAAGTGAGAGAAAACGGACTCCTATGACGGGGCACTCAAATAAACATACACATAGCTGTATAATGCAATATTAACCCCTAAATTGGTGTTTTAAGAAGGTATATCATAAATTATTTAATGTACTGTATTGTATGTGTTTATAAATGTTTATTTTCATTAATAAAAGTGCTTGAATTACTTTTTTGGGGCCGAAAAAATTCCTTTGGAACGCATCTCCAGTTTTATAATGGAAGTCAATGGGAAAATATGTTTCGTGTTACGGAATTTCGCGATACAGTCAATTTTCCGGGAACGGAACCCTTCCGTAACGCGGAGGATGCCTGTATATGTACTTTATATAAAAAATGAAATTATGTAAAGCATTTTAGAATCACAGCCTCTTTGAAATTCATTTTAGGTACAGGTATATGCAAAGAGCAACCAGCATCTAACGGAAAAGTGGGGGAGAAGAGAGGAGATTCGATGGGGGAGGGGGTATACGAGGGTAGGCTAGGTGAGGTGGGTAATCAAGGTGAGGCAGAGTACTGCGCTCATATCTGGGGTGGCTCTTCTTCTGTCCAACTGTTAAATAGGGTGGAATCAAAGGCATTTCATCTTTTTAACTCTCCTTCTTTAGTTGATAATCTTTCTTCCCTTTCTCTTCGCCGCAATGTTGCTTCACTCTCTCTTGTTTACAGGTACTTTAACGGGCATTGTTCGGTGGATTTGGCATCCTATGTACCGCCGGCACGGCCGTGGGCTCGTAACACTTGTCTTGCCCACGGTGACCACTGTTTTTCTGTGGATGTCGGTCACACTAGAATAACCTGTTACAGTACCTCCTTCTTTCCTCACACAGCCAAACTGTGGAATGCTCTGCCTTCTTCTGTGTTTCCATATTCATACAACCTGTCTTACTTCAAAAAGCTGGTTTTCCGGCAACTTCGTGGTGTAGATAGTATAATCTTTTTCTTTTCTATTTATAATTTCTTTCCGCTCTTGGCCTGTTTGCCCCCAGGCCCTGTTGTGGCTCGATGACCTGTGCCTGGGTGAACTAACCCAAAATGAAGATTCTTATGGAAGGTAGTTCGTAAACCAAGGCGTTCGTTAACCGAGGGACCACTGTAGTTGTATTGTAGGGTAGTATTACTGTAAAACATGGCTATGATTATGTAATAAATGTATTTATTTGTGGAATTATTATTATTTTATGCATTACTTGCTCTACCAAACACAAAGACAGCCAGGCAGACTGGCGACCGACTGGTGAGTGTTGCCAAGCACTTTTTATGAAAAATAATGCAAATAAAATATTCTAAATGAATTATTTATAGCAAATAATTATTAAGATTAGTAAATACAGGTATATACATTATTGGTCACCTCAGACAAAAAAGCGAGCTTAAAATAGCTGCTAAGTGCGGAGGGACCATGAGTGTCAGCTGTCAAACCAACACGGTCTCCTTATCCCCCCCTCCTCCCTCCACGCAGCCAGGGAAGTTTCTAGCAGGTCAATATATAGTTTTTCTTCCTCATTTTTTTTATTGTTTTATAATTTTAAAAGGTTAAACATTATTTTTGGAAAAGATGATTTTTCTCGACTTACCCGCGATCAGGGGTGGGGAGGGGTGTGTATTGCCACCAACACCTTAACCTGGGGCTTAAGGGTTAAGACCATCAAAATGGGTTATTTACTCTCTAATTTGATGGCAATTAGAGCTAAATATTTACCTGATACAAATCATAGTTGCTGTTATCCACATTGTGGGTGCGAGTGGTGAGAAGGACAGCATTTTCTGCAGGATTAAAAGACATGCTATACACAGGAGCGCGGGAACCTGCACGCAACTGCATCACTGCAACATCCCTGTAAAAATGCAGGAAATCTCACTTTATGCATGATATTCAATGGCCTGCTGCATTATGCATACAATTTGGACAAAATAGATTGAAACATTTCTAACATTCTAACAAACAATACAGTAGTACAGTACCTCAATATACCGGAATAATTGGGGCAGACCCCCATTCGAAAAAAGCAAATCTATGGGATTGGGGTGTGGAGAAAACACTGCTTATCTGGACAGTTTCAAGAAAATCAATTGCAGTTATAATGTTATTAGCTACTGCATTTCAAACCCTAAAGTCTAAGTGCATAACAAGGTTAGTAAAACACGAGTGTATCAACAATAAAAAAAACAGTAATGAGACAACTGTAAGGGTTGGAAATCAGACATAATTGTTTGTCGACAGCTGTTTTAACAGAGATGATTGTTACGTACTGTAAAGTGTCATATATAAGTAACCACAGAATTTGCCTTATGAATAAAGAGAAAACTGTATACTGTACAGTACTACAAAGATAAAAATGAGAATACTGTAAATAAGAGCATCGAGGTATAGTATGTGGAGGGAGATGAGTGTATCTGGGAGCAGCAGGAAGGGAAGGGGGGGGCATTCCCTCCCCCTCTCTCCCCCAAAATCATATTAACACATCTTCATGCAATTTAACCATGATTCTCATATAATTTAGGTTTATTTGGTGCCAGGTTGATAAAATATTATTGTAAAATAATCACATTTTCCAAAAAAAAAGAAACCCTCGAGTCATTTGTTTACAAAGGGCAAACAGCTAATTGGCCTAGCTACCTCACTACTCATGCCTACCACAACATGTGTTCAGCACTTAGTAAATTAGTACTGTTATATATTTATTATCACTTAATAAATACTATTGCTGTGTACTTATCAGTATACTTAATAAACAATACTAAGTACAGTATAGTGTATTTTACACCTGCATATTTCCTAGTTTATTCATTAATTAGTTGCCTGATCATACAAGTAGTCAAATTGAGCCATCGTGTATCACTCAAAGGTAATAAATAATGTTTTTAGGAAAGTAACTCCATATCAAATACTATACGGTATGTTATAGTAATCCTGTTGAAAGGTGATTTGCTTTAAGCTTTCACACGAATGGATCCCGAGTAAATACCTTCCGATACAGCTTATCCTTTTATTTTGAAGTCAAATTGAAAATTACATATTATATTTTTTTCTATTATTGAAGATGTTATATTAATCATGATGAATCATAAACCATAAGAGGCTTATCATAGGAGAATATAATACTGAATCAATAAATAAACCTGACAAAAGTGGCAATGCCCAAACAGTCCCAGCCCCCGCAAAACCCCAGCCTACTTACATGCAGTGTCTTACCTCTCGTTAGGCCCAAGGCCTATAGCAGATCTGATCAGACCACTGTATACAGCATTCAGTGAGCAAGTGTTTTTCTTTTTATAATATTCTGTATATATTTGTTATATTTTACACATTTCTTAAAATACATACTGTATGTATATTATGTATGCTGTATGTATATTATGTATGCTGTATGTATATTATGTATGTGCTCCATTTATATACATTATTATTCAGCCTAGCTAGCAGTGTGTGGCAATGTATTTACCATGTCCCACACGCTTAATTAAAGTGCCTGGCGACATATGGGAGCTGTTAATGTATCACTTGCCACATGTCGCCTAGAGGCTAGTTGACCCCCCAGACAGAGTAAGGAGTGCCACCTCGCTTGTGTATCTCTGTTTATCCAGGAAATAGAACCTACGAAAACTCTACAGGTGTTTGTGTTCGCTCCTGTAGATAGAACTTGATACCCAGAACACATGCACATACAGTACTTTACATTATATTAACCCAATTCTTAAAACCCTCGTATATCCCTGTTAAAAGATATTACATGCTCTACAGAAAAAGTTACACGTAAAAATGAGCTTAAGTTCACCGATATGATACACATGAAGGCAGGACTCCGAATGAGACACACGCAGTGCAAAACCCACGCACAGACTCTCAATTGCACGTATGAACATACAAACCATACGGACTAATGTTGGATTTTCCAGACTCTTTAAAATATTTCTGGTGAACAGAGGGGCAGTCTGGAGCACCTTGGAAAGTGCGAAAAAAGCAAATTCGACTGTATTAAAGTCTGGTATATAGAAGTTTTATTGTACTGTATACAGTAGAACATGTCAGGACAAGCCTACCAGTGTCCTGGTAAGATACAATATCTGTGTGGATACTGTTAAAACTGTTAGCCTGAGCCAACAACAGTCTTTTCAACAAACTTGAACCAGATCAAGAGGTGGTTACATGAAGATTATCACTTAAATGGATGAATATATTTTCAAAGTAACTGTAGGGTGAGCAATTATGTTTTAGCACACTTACTAACCTACACTTACATCACCTGGTCAGTGACAAAGCTGAGTAGAGGGAAATTATCCAGCAACTGAAGTGTATGATCTTTTGGGGGCTGATGGTAGATACAGTACAGATGTGCAGAATTTAAGAAACCTACTTGTTTTTGGTCAAATCAAGACGACGGAGAAAGCGCTCCTTCACATAATACAGAAGGTTGCCGTGTAAGGCGTAAGCAGGTCTCTCTCGCTCCAGCTGCAATAACAAAGAGCAATTATTAAATATTGAGCAGTTACCTTTGCTGATCTTTCTTACATTCTAAAGTAAAAGCTGTGAAATAATGTTGCAGGCTATGGATTTTTTTTCTTTTTTTAGTAAAGTTTAAGTTGGTCTAAGCCACTAAACACTAACCTCACTCAATCATAATAAATGTTCATAAAATTGCAAAAGATCTAAATAAACCTAAGCAAATAACGAGAAAGGAGTGAATACAGCAAACAATGCATCATGAAAACTGTAATACTGGATTCAGCTGTACAAGTGAACCTTACCCAAGAATGTCTTTTTATTTTAATACCTACACCTTACATATCAGATGTAGTGCCATATTCATAATCGGTACGCCATCCGACCAATCGGGAACAGTGTAGGGTGAGGTCATTCAGAGACGACACAGACCCGAAGGCAGTCCCAGTGTATCGGGATAGCTGGAACATTTCATGAGGAAGGGGTACCCACGCTATGACAATCCCGATGAATATAAAAACCCTTTTCATCCACCAAATTTTGATATATTGAGATAGAATATAATCAAAACCGATAGAAAATGTGTTTGTTGGTGACAAAGTTGTTTCCATATACTGTACAATACATTCAAAGATTAGCCTTTATTCACAAGTGTTGAATAGTCCCAGCTGATCATGTGTGTGCAGCCGTACATAACAAACACAGAGCTGCTAAATATACGAGGAATGCAGGCAGGATTTTAAAGAAAAAACATTTACTTGCAGAGATATGTCAAGGCACCTGCACATTCATATACCTGTACATGATGACTGATGTTCCAAGGGTAAGAAATGTAAATTTCATATAGCAAGCACAAATTACCAACGAAATGAACAATGTTTTAGATCAACTAAGTCAGCCTCATCACAGAGGAGTGTGACTCTATTTAAAACCTTATATATTACAGTATTTTTAAGTGGCGCTGCAGCTGAAAACCAACCAGGACACAATTTTCAAGGATGGGTAATTCAATAATTTACAAACTATAACAGTTTTGTGAAATGCTCATGAGGCTACAGAATAAATGTGACTAGGTTAGGTTAGGAATTCTTAGTTGAGTAGCCACTTGCTAAAAGGTAAGACTATATTTCAGGATGAATGAAAAAGTGCCTTTTTTGTATAACTTTGCCCTTCTCTTGAATAAGGCTAACAAGAGCACTGTGCTGTTTAAAGGACAACGGTATGCTCCATTCATGGTTATCCATATTTCCTGAGCCTTTCCTGCTCTGTGTTGTGGCAGCTGACTCAAGGTACACCAACCACCAGCCACCCCCAGTATGGCCAACACCCAGTGAAATACAGTACAACCTTCAAAACAAACCGCACAAACACCAGGGAATAATTTTTTTTATATCCTATACATTTCCTCTCTAACATTTTATATATATATATATATATATATATATATATATATATATATATATATATATATATATATATATATATATATATATATATATATATATATATATATATATATATATATATATATATATATATATATATATATATATATATATATATATATATATATATATATATATATATATATATATATATATATATATAGTATTCTCCGAATCAATCCCAGAAGGTCGTTAGTTAACGAAACGTTAGATAACGAAACCATTGTTTCAATGGGTTTTTGGGTAATTGGTTCCAGCTCACCGAAAATTTCCTAAATTCAACAAAAATGGTAGAAAAGTTCACTTACTTTGAGGTGTGTATGTAGAAGGCTCCTGGATGATGATGATGATGATGGGATTTAGAATGGGGGTGGAGGAGAAGGAAGAAGAGAAGGCATTGGGGTGGAAGAGAAGTCACCCCATGGTGCCATTTCACCCATAAAATTTTAGCTCTCTGGTTTAATTCAAGATTATTTTCTTTAAATCAACGCTGCACTGCATTATATATTGTCAATATATAAAATATATTTCAAAATGACCAATAATTTGCTTGGAAACACAGAAAAAAAGCGTTTAGTTGAAGAGAGTCTCAAGCAAGATGTTACCTCCAGTGAAAACAGAGAGAGACTGACGCCTGTTTGCTGTGTTAAGAGGCTGGATGCCGCGCATTAAACTAGTCACTTTACCTTCAATTTTGTTCAATAATTGTTAAAATGACTAAAAAATTGAATATTAAACTTTTAAAATTATTGAATAGTATAAACTTCTTGATATTTACAAAAATAGTAAGGAATTTAAGCCCTAGAACCGATTAATGTATTGGCGGACTGATACTAAAGCTGGTTGCCCGGTCAGTGCAAGCGAAAACATGTTGAGGTCGGTTCGTAAGAAGTTCGTTAAGCGAATTTTTTTTCGTTAACCGAATTGAAGATCCTTATGGAAGGCAGTTCGTTAATCGAAATTACGTTAACCGAGGTGTTCGTTAAACGAGGGGTCACTGTATATATATATATATATATATATATATATATATATATATATATATATATATATATATATATATATATATATATATCCGGAATGCCCAATTTACGCGGTGCAACTACTCATATACGCGGGTGAAGTACATATAATTTTTTTATTTAGCTCATAAAATTCATACAAATTACCCGGCCAGAATATAATTTACATTGCTGGAATTCTTACAATATGATGATCATTTTAAATATAAACATCATGGATTTTGCATTAGACATACAAATTTTAGATCTAATGTAAGAATTTTGTTTACACAGAGCAAATATGTTCTCTTTTGTGCAAAATATATGACGTGTATATTCAAAATATTCTTGGTCTTGCAAGGAATCCAGCAATGTCAATTATATTATCCCAACTTTAGTCTGAGGTATTACAGTCGACCCTCGTTAATTCGGACCCCTTTAATCCGGATTTCGGATAAATCGGACGAAATCTGAACTGTCCTATCAAATTTCTGGTTCTGGGATTGTCCCAGTTGCAATTGGGGTTGCAATTTCAATTTCTGTCATTACTAAGGAATAAAGAAGTCACTGGTGTACTGCACTCTAAGAGTAAGAGAAAACGGACGACTCAGGCGTCCTGAAGTGAGAGAAACAAACTTCTTTGACGGGGCACTCAAATAAAGAGAGACATAGCTACATGTTTTGTGGACTACCCCCTTTACAGTATCCTTTTCATCACTTTGTAATAAACCTAGTCTTGCCTATGTGTTTCTGATAAATACCATAACATTATATATTTATACAGTATATTTAGCGGTTGTACAAACACAAGGCCTCACACATGCCATTCAGACTGACAGACTTGACAAGTTTTACCAACCATAAAGACAGTTGAAGCTTTAAACATCACTCACAATGGATCTTGAATATTCCAACTGTAATCAGACATAACTAAGTTGCCTCAACAATTGCAACCCCAATTGCAATTTCAAATTCTGTCAGTACTAAGAAATAAATAAGTCACTGGTGTACTGCACTCTAAGATTAAGAGAAAACGGACGACTCAGGCGTCCTGAAGTGAGAGAAAACGGACTCCTATGACGGGGCACTCAAATAAACATACACATAGCTGTATAATGCAATATTAACACCTAAATCAGTTAATTCGGGCAATCGGCTAAAACGGACACCCTTCCCCCCCTATTAGTCCGTTTTAACGAGGGTTGACTGTATTTTTTACTATACCTTAAAATCTAGTGTTTTCACCCAAACATTTCTCAGAGAGGTAAGAGCCAGGGAAGAGGAGGAGGGAGGGGGAGTCGAGTCCATTATTTGAATGGCATTAACCTGGCGACTGTATTTCTCTTAAATATTAATTGAGTGCATACCATCATAAAATTATGACGACACACACACACACACACACACACACAAGCACGCACGCACGCGCGACCCTCGTTAATTCGGACCCCTTTAATCCGGATTTCGGATAATTCGGACAAAACCTGAACTTTTTTTTTTTTTTAGATTTGTAGGAATATTACCTACGCGAACCTTAAGCTAAAATGCTGGTTCACCCTCTGCTGGGATAAAACACCAGCGTCTTTTTGCTTAAATGTAACCAGTGGCGTAGCTAGAGTGTGTGCCGCCCGGAGCGGCCCTTGAGTTTTTTTAATAGTTTTCGGTTAAAATACTGTTATATTACAATGATATTCTATTCATACTGTGCTTGATATAATACATTCACGGAAATGTAATATTTTTGCTGAAATTATGTACGTATTACAGTGGAAAGTGGGATAAAATCGTGACGAAAACAATGACTGAAATATAATGCAATATTAACCCCTAAATCGGTTAATTCGGACAATCGGCTAAAACGGACACCCTTCCCCCCCTATTAGTCCGAATTAACGAGGGTCGACAGTGTATATATACACTATATATATATATACAGTGACCCCTCGGTTAACGAACTCAATCCGTTCCAGGTCGTTCGTTAACCGAAACCATTGTTTCAATGGGTTTTTGGGTAATTGGTTCCAGCTCACCGAAAATTTCCTAAATTCAACAAAAATGGTAGAAAAGTTCACTTACTTTGAGGTGTGTATGTAGAAGGCTCCTGGATGATGATGATGATGGGTTTTAGAATGGGGGTGGAAGAGAAGGAAGAAGAGAAGGCATTGGGGTGGAAGAGAAGTCACCCCATGGCGCCATTTCACCCATAAAATTTTAGCTCTCTTGGTGTAATTCAAGATTATTTTCTTTATATCAACACTGCACTGCATTATATATTGTCAATATATAAAATATATTTCAAAATGACCAATAATTTGCTTGAACACAGAAAAAAAGCATTTAGTTGAAGTGAGTCTCAAGCAAGATGTTACCTCCAGTGAAAACAGAGAGAGACTAACGCCTGTTTGCTGTGTTAAGAGGCTGGATGCCGGGCATTAAACGAGTCACTTTACCTTCAATTATGTTCAATAATTGTTAAAATTACTAAAAAATTGAATATTAAACTTTTAAAATTATTGAATAGTATAAACTTCTTGATATTTACTAAAATAGTAAGGAATTTAAGCCCTAGAACCGATTAATGTATTGGCG